TATCACGTACGAACTTAGTTTGGCTTAACACTTCACATAAGTAAAATAATATTTCAAAACAATTCTCATATACTGATAACGTCTCTTCGTAATCTGTAAAACAAAATTAAAATTCATGATATTTTCCCACACAAATCTAATATAGAAAACAAGGGATAATACTGTTTAACAAATATTCCCATTATATAATAGTTTTTTGGCTAAATCAGTGTAATACATTGTCTTCAACATGTTCAATTCGCTGATGATTGAGGTAAAATTCTTTACTCATCCTTGAAACATCTGTAGATTTTGTTTTTATATCACTATAGCTGTGAATATATTTGTTAAATGTTGTAAGAGGGTAAACTGTCTTAAGAGATTCAAGGATTTAAAAAAAAACATTTACTTCTTTACTTTATCGTTATCGGATGTATTTATCAAATTTAATCGAATTAACAATAACAACAACATCAAAAAATAGAAAGACAATGTTTTATGCATCTTTATTTTTTCGAGTGTGCGAGCAAGTAACAATAGGACCTGATCAGAAATAGTCAAGTTGTGATAATATGTGTGTTACGTTTACTTTAACGTCTATGTAAACTTATTTTAATGTTTTAATAAACATAGTAGTAAAACACCAACAAAGCTTCTGTGAAAGTATCTAATTTAATATTCGTACTTTCAATTGATATTTATAGTGCGTCTTTCTATGTTGTGACGTTACACTATTGTTTCAGATAAGGGTGAAGGTTTGGTACCATTGAAACGTTTAAACCCGCTGCAATTGTTTAAACGTTTTAATGGTACCAAATTTGCATCTGTCCTAAGTCAGGAATCTGATGTTCAGTAGTTGTCGTTTGTATTTGTGGTTCATACGTGTTCCTCGTTTCTTGTTTTTTATATAGATTAGACCGTTGGTTTTCCCGTTTGAATGGTTTTATACTAGTAATTTTTGGGGCCTTTTATAGCTTGCTGTTCGGTGTGAGCCAAGGCTCCGTGTTGAAGGCCGTACTTTGACCTATAATGGTTTACTTTTATAAATTTTGATTTGGATGGAGAGTTGTCTCATTGGCACTCATACCACATCTTCTTATATCTATTTATTTGACCTTTTTAGCTTTTTTTATTCGACCGTCACTGATGACTCTTTTGTTGACGGAACACGCTTCTGGCGTACAAAATTTAAATCCTGGTATCCATGATGAGTTTATTTACAACAACTGGGTCATTGCCACTACTGGACAGTTACTCCCCAAGGGTATCACCAGCCCAGTAGTCAGCACTTCTGTTTTGACATGATATTAGCATTTATATGGTAATAATTATAGATTAACTGTTTATAAATCACAATGCTCTTTAACTTTGAACTTTATTTGGCCTTTTTAACTTTTTTTTATTTTAGCATCACTGATGAGTCTTTTGTTGACGAAACGCGCATCTGAAATACAAAATTGTAATCTATGATGAGTTTATTAAAGTCAAGCGCTTTAGATGTAAAGTCTAGCACTAAAGATTAAAAGTATAGTACTGGACTTTATAAACCAAAACCTGTTATCTGTATAAGAGACGAACAAGACTCCGTAGAAATTACACACTTTTCACAGAAAATTTATTGGTATTTTACTACTGTATTTTATTATGGTGAGGGCTCGATATACTGATACGTTGACATGATACCATGATTGACTAATAGGGGTGTTAATTATGGAAATTGAATTGATTACAGATATTGATTGCATTGTTATCTCGTTTAGATGATCACGTTTACGCTAAATAATTTCATATTCTCTAGTAGTTCCAATACTAACAAGTCTACGAACAAATGATGCCTATGTCTCTTGAGCAAATGATAATATATAACGTTTATATTTGATAATGATATTATTCCAGTGTACAATATATTGATGGTTAATCTGAATATGTAAGACCACAATGGGAAAATGTCAACTGCAGGTAATATATTTAAAAGTTTATAATATATATTCTGATGTTTGGTTGTGATACTAAATAATTTTCACAATAATTGAGTTTGTTTAGGTTGCGTTTTAAACATTGACAAACTTGAGTGACCCTCATAAGTTTATAACTTTGAATTATCATGAAAATTTCAAATTGCAAACCCTGCATAAGTTAAGACAAAGTTTAAGTCAGCAGCTTCTTGTTTGAATCATAGGAACATATATACTAAAAGTTTTCTTTTAAATAAATATGAGAAACAACCTTATCCAAATTGATATTTTATCATTTTGTGAAAGGTTACATTTTAGTGTTAGCTCTAAGAATTAATAATAAAAAGCCAAAAAGAGATTTCGGTAGTCTCAAATTTCTGCAATACTTCTACAGTTAACGTCCATGTCGACCCTTTTTCGGGAAAACGTTCAAACTCAGTCATGGTTTAGGGTAAAAGAATTAACTTGTGACGATGGTTTGTCTTAATTAAACTCGGTCATGGTTTAGGGTAAGGAATTAACTTGTGATGATGGTTTGTCTTAATTAAACTCGGTCATGGTTTAGGGTAAAGAATTAACTTGTGATGATGGTTTGTCTTAATTAAACTCGGTCATGGTTAAGGGTAAAAGAATTAACTTGTGATGATGGTTTTTCTTAATCAAACTCAGTCATGGTTTAGGGTAAAGAATTAATTGGTGACGATGGTTTATCTTAAACAAACTCAGTCATGGTTTAGGATAAAAAGAATTAACTTGTGATGGTGGTTTGTCTTAATCAAACTCAGTCATGGTTTAAGGTAAAGAATTAACTTGTGACGATGGTTTGTCTTAATCAAACTCAGTCATGGTTTAGGGTAAAAGAATTAACTTGTGACGATGGTTTGTCTTGAACAAACTCAGTCATGGTTTAGAGTAAAGAATTAACTTGTGACGATGGTTTGTCTTAATCAAACTCAGTCATGGTTTAGTGTAAAAGAATTTACTTGTGACGATGGTTTTTCTTAATCAAACTCAGTCATGGTTTAGGGTAAAGAATTATCTTGTGACGATGGTTTGTCTTAATCAAACTCAGTCATGGTTTAGGGTAAAGAATTAACTTGTGACGATGGTTTGTCTTAATTAAACTCGGTCATGGTTTAGGGAAAAGAATTAACTTGTGATGATGGTTTGTCTTAATCAAACTCAGTCATGGTTTAGGGTAAAGAATTAACTTGTGACGATGGTTTATCTTAAACAAACTCAGTCATGATTTAGGGTAAAGAATTAACTTGTGATGATGGTTTGTCTTATTAAGATAGAGAACATAGCATTTAACGATCCACTATTGAATGATGTATATCACAAGATATAACTCATCGGCGCATATTTATATGAGAAACACGGCGGATGACACTAACGGAGTAGCACCTGTGTTTAACCCCGAGTTTTGTTAAGATTCGTGTTTCTCAATCTTTTCTGTGTATTTTTTAGTAACTTTTTTTTTCTAATCGTTTTTCTTTTTGCCATCGTGTTGTCAGTTTTTATCGTGGGGGTTCGTTTGATAATTTTTTTTCTATATTGGTTTGTATTCTCTGGTTTCATTGTTTTTCTGTTGGCTGATTATTTCTTTTTTTTTTCATTTGTTAGTATAACATTATGGATTACACATAGATCAAATCACGTCACACCTAAGTTACCACAAAATTAACCAGTATAATGTAAATGTTTAGAGATGGCTATAGGTATTCCTTCCGAAATATGTCTTCCACGTGTTCTCACAATGTGATGTTTACACATTTAACAACTTATGTTATTCATAGGTGTGGAAATAATTCCTGCGTCAGATGGGAATTGTCAATTAGCCGAAGAATAATTATACGATTTTGACAGGTTTAGTCTTGTTATATCATATTGAATACCATTGGCTACATACGATTACAATAGTCTGTTACTCAATAAAGTACTTCAAAGCTCATAAGTTTCGTGGATAGTAAAGTCTACATTAATTTATGATATTCTAATAATTTTATTCGATGTTGAAGACAGAAGATACAAAGGGGCTTCTTTCGAAAAACCATTAGTAAAATAACAGCAAAATAAATAAAAAAAAACAGACAACACCATGGCAAACAATAAGAACGACAAAAGAACAAACAACAATTATAACAAAGTCGAATAAATAGCTAAACATTTTTCAAATACACTTTTATAAATCAATTTTATTTTTTATGTAATTTTGTTTGAGTTGGTTAAAATAAAGTTTGATTAAAGAGCACAATTTCACAATTCAATTGATATACTACATTGAAATTCAAGATTCGTATGCAAAAACAGGGCATTTCGGGAAATCAGTTTAAAAAAAAAATAAAGTTTGTAACATAATATTTCAACAAACCTAAACTTAGACTCAGTATTGATAGTATAACACCTTCTGTACAGGTTGAATCAAAATCGAAACACATTTTGAAAATAATAAACAAACAAAGCAACGAGGCAGGTTTACAACCAAATACGGAATTGATATCCATCAAAAATATTAGAACTCTTTTAATGTTAAACATCTGGTAGAATAAAAACTAGGTTTGGATCTTTGGCAATCTTTACTGAATATGCTGTTCTTTTGATATTTAAACGCAATGAGTTCTCAGATACATTTATAAAACAAATCTATATAATTTTACAACAACTGTAATTTGTAATTGTTACATGTAGAATTACTATTTCAATGTTTGCAGTAAAATTCTAAACACTTATGTGACTGAATCTTTATGTTATTCAGGTTATCCATTTTATCTTTTCCAAAACTATCAAAATCCACACTACGTCTCTGATTATACCGTGTTTCAGTGATACCGCAGATTTATTCACCACAGACTGATATATTGAACCCCTTTTTAAGCTTCAAATATTAATTTTTATATATGAGACATTTGACTTTTCCAATGGTAATCTCAATTTATCATTGATTCCAGCTGATCTGATCTATATTGGTTTTCAAGTATTAATTAGTGGAATGATATCTAGCACCTGAGGCCTTGAGTAAACACTGACTGATTGTGTATTAACTTATTACATAGCTGATCAAACCTTGTTTCTGACATGGATGATTTAATGTTTAAAGTATTCATATGATTTTAGGATAATAACGTTGATATAGATATCTTCATTGGAATAAGAAATTAGGATGAAACAAACTTGTGAGTAATTTATAATTAAGAATTAGCACCGGTTTTTTTTAACTTACGCATGCTTCTGTAAAGTAGTCAAAGAAACACAAATATTATTTTTTTCTTGTAAAGAACGGTAAAGCAGCAAATGTTTCGTACAAAAGACGAACATTTTTCTATGCAAACACATAATATTACTTTATCTGCTGCTTACAAGGAAAAGCAAAAGTTATTAAATACAAACCGTACAAGTCATGGCATATTTGAACAACAAATAGTTTTTTTTTATATATTTGCTTAAATTGTACCGGCTATTTAAACAAACCATTGCCCATACATGTATATGGAGGGAAAACCAACACAATATCACAAATCACATTAAAAACTTGAACCGATAAAGGCACAATGGTATAAAGGAACAATTATAGCTGCTCAGAACAGTTAAACACGTAACTGTGTAAATTTATTTCTTTGAACGCTAACATACAACACAGAAGAAAATTTATATTTAAAAGTATTCAGTAACAAGTTAAGAATTGATATCGCTAGCTATGTGTTGCCTTTTGCATTGACATGGTATGTATACTTATATATATAGATTTTTATAAAATACTTAAAATATCGAAAACGTCAATGAATTAGAACTATTATGCTTCTATTCACTAAGCTTGCAAGTGAAGCATAGAATAATTGGACCATGCGGATTCAGCTACATATGATTACATGTTGACAATAAGGCTTACCGGTATGATAGAGAATTGTGACTTCCGAATCAATAAATGAACCTAGTATGAATATGATAATGATTCTGTTATTCAAACAATTACATCACAAATCTTCAGAGACTACAATGTATAAATTATTTCAATCGTTAACTGCATATGATTATTCACAAACAGAATAGATGATCTCGAGGAATAATTTCATTCTTAAAAAATGCTTCTCCTTGTATTAATGATCATTAAAATGTAATGCAGTTGTCAGGGATGAATTCCGAGTTCGAGAAAAAAGGGTGTGCAATTGTCCTAAATTGTTAAATATCCAATAATGTAACAATACCAAAATCTGAGATGGCATGTAAAAAATAACATGTAATACTTAAGACATGGATAAATAAAGCTCAATGAAACTGTGTAACACTTCTCTTTTCCATGTATTATGTGTACATACCATCTTAAAGGGACAGTTTTTGGTGTGGTTTATGTTGATCAGTCTTTCGTTTTCTAAGTTGTGTTTTGTCTACTTTTGTTTGTCTTCTGTTTTTTTGTCTTTTTTTTTTGGCCATGGTGTTGTTAGTTTATTTTCAACTGAAAATGAATAATAAATTATTAATGAGTTTGGATGTCCCTTTGGTATCTTTCGCCCCTCTCTTATTGGTTCGTGTTGCTTATACCCTAATGTTTCGCAGTTTTAAGTGACCGTGCTGTTTATTTGTAACAATTGCTGTGTTTGTCTTAGAAACTCTGATATTTGGTCATTTATTAGAGTTAAAAGAAGTTATATGTACCAATTGTTAATATTGTTGTAATTTAAAAGAAATAAAGCATTTTCAAATTCACTCCGGTATTATTCCTTGTCTACAGATATATTGTCAACGGTTTTAATAGTTCACATATGATTTTAGTTGGATTGGGGTGGATATTGTTGTACAATCTAAGACTATCGAATGTTGAGTTGTCTTTTGTATTGGAGTTTTTTTTTTTTTTAGATTATACTTAAGCTGTCTTTTCAACGACTAGAACCACACATTTCCTAATCTATAGGTAGGGACAATATTGGTATTCGTTCAAGAGTGTATCAGAACTTACCAGTAGAGACAATATTGGTACTCGTTCAAGAGTGTACCAGAACTTACCAGTAGAGACAATATTGGTACTCGTTCACGAGTGTATCAGAATTTACCTGTAGAGACAATATTGGTACTTGTTCAAGAGTGTATCAGAACTTACTTATCTTTACAAACATAATATTATTAGATTTTCCTTTTTTTATGATATTGCATATTTTACCTTGACATCATTTAAGATATCACTTCATTTAAACATCTCGTGAGATTCTCGTGAACAATATCATTGGTATTTGTATTCCATAGAGGTATGTTACTACATTTATTTAAAGTAAAATATTGATATTTCTTTTCATGTCACAATGTTTTGGTCTTGCTAATGTTCTATACTAAAATAAGTGTCTGATTAACTCTAATCTGTACAAATACTTAAGATTGTCTTTGGTAATGTTTGTTGTTGTCTCATTTTTATATACCACACATTTCCTTCTGTTCAACTCATTGGTCAGTAGCTTATAATTTTACGTCAGACAGGCACTCGTTTAAACAAGACTCAACAGTAGCGTTCAAATCAAATAAGTTGAACGGTAAAATTAATAATGAAATTGAAAAGCATTGAAGACCAAACGTTAAAAGAGTAAATACTGAACATATGTCGTTCTTGTGAGACTTTTTTTTTCTGCTGTCACTGAATGAAAATGTAGGAGATGGTAAGAATCAAAATCATTATACTTTAAGAAGAGCAGTTAAAATTCTAAGTCACAACTAAGACAAAAAGGCAAATAATAATCTGGTATAAAATCAAAATGCGTAAAAAATGAAAACAACACTTTATATATTTAATGGGTCCGAAACGTTTTTCTTGATTTATATAATTACCTTCACCAGGAACGTTCAAAGCTGAATATTTAAATGCCAAGGCTGTATAAGAACGGAACTAGTTGCAGATTTATACGTAGAAAAATTATCTAAAATAATAGCCAAATCCAATTAAAGTCAAATTTGCCTGAGGGAGTTGAACACTTGGTTTCTTTATAAATTCTAACTTTATAAACGGACAATTACAGAAGGGTTTGTTATAAATCATGTCAGTACCGATGTACTGACTACTGAGCCAATAATACTGTAAACAGTAATGTAAATTGTTTTTTGTCCTCTTGTTCATTGGTGGGAATTACATAAGAAACTTTATTTGCTTCATTTACGTATACACATGCATTCAAAATAAATTTTAAAGATAAATTGGCGGCTTTAGTACTTGTACTTCATGTCACGTAATGAAAATTAAACATTCATTGCATACGAAGATAAATATTCTATGCATATTAAAATCATTTTAAAGTCTTAAATCTAATTTGTCCCAGATGATCTGAGATATTTCCAACTCCATAGAAAAGTTTAATTATATACTATTTGTGTAGTCAACATTTATATTGAAATAACTCTAAAGCGATATTAGATTTCAAAATTTTAATTAGATACAATAATACAAGATACTAGAGAACCTAATTAGATACCATAATACAAGATACTAGAGAACCTTAGTAGATACACTAGAGAACCTAAGTAGATACCATAATACAGGATACTAGAGAACTTAATTAGTTACCATAATACAAGATATACTAGAGAACTTAATTAGATACCATAATACAAGATACTAGAGACCCAAATGGATGTCGAACTTATCTTTGTTTTAAGAATGGCAATACAAGGTTACAACTCTTTTGATATTTAGTAAATACCATAGTCACGTGACCATAGTGTTTACTCTCAACATTGTATTATTAAATACCATAGTGTTTACTCTCAACATTGAAAGATTAAATACCATAGTGTTTACTCTCAACATTGTATGATTAAATACCATAGTGTTTACTCTCAACATTGTAAGATTAAATACCACCATAGTGTTTACTCTCAACATTGTAAGATTAAATACCATAGTGTTTACTCTCAACATTGTATGATTAAAATAACCATAGTGTTTACTCTCAACATTGTATGATTAAATGTATTCGAAATATATTTAGGAAATATGAGCAACTACTGCCAGTTATCAATGAAGTCAAAAGTTTGTCTTATGGATTAATACAGTAGAAGAAATTTAGCTGTAAGTATGGTTATGTTATTTATATTTTAAGTACTAATCTGAAGTTGAAAATTTCTGGTTGCAATAATTGGTTCTTCACCTTTAAAAACCAGACATTAGGCGAACAGTTTTTATCTAATTAGTCAAATATTTTCCCTTCAACAGTTATGTATCTGGAAGACGTTAACATTGATAAACAGTAATTTTCATGTGGATTTTAAATCTGTTTTTTTTTCCGTATAACATAAATTGCGAAATCTTCATATGTATGGATGAAAAATGATAACCAATCAATCAATCACTATATATTGTGTATTTCTAGTTCCTAAAAAACAATCAAATTTTTTTATCTCTAGACATTGACTGTTTATGTGCAGTCGTTAATAATGTGTTTTGTCCTTTAGATAATTATAAAGTGTTGAATAAATTAAACAAATAGTATCAAAAATCTATAATCAATAATAAATATCTGATGACGTAACTATATATTATAGTATTCTTGATGTAAACGTTACGATAATCACAGTGGCAATATATTCCTGCCTGTTTACTTGTTAATACGTACATATAATCTCATACAGACAGACATTGGTTCTGTTATTTTAATGGAAACCTCGTGTAAATTGTCAAACGATATTAGTTACTCGTAATTTATAATCTGATCATTTAGTTTTACATTCTAAATGGAAAGTGGATGTACAAGTCCAGGCTTAACATACAAAATGTCAAAACAAGTATTGCATTTTACACAAACATTCACTTAAAAATATATTTTTAACATGCATAAATGTACTTTTTCATTGCTGGCTAACATAATTATATTGAGGCGTATGGTGAGGATGCTTACTATGAAGAAGGAGACGAAAAACAAGAAAAACATAATACATACATTTAAAGTTGGCAGAAAAAAAGTAAAAGACGGTTTTAAAAAAACTATAAAACAAGGAGATAGCTACTGGGTCAATCAAAATTCAAAATTTGAAATCAGATAGACGACACTATTTCAAAAGAACACTACATGACTGTCAGGAACCTGTGATTGAGTGGTTGTCGTTTTTTGCTGTTTCTCATATGTTTTATTCGTTTATTGTTTTGCATAGTTGTTCTTGTGTTGTGTGCTGTTACACCACTGTTCCAGGTTAGGGAGAGTGTTGGCGCTTTCAAACTAGTTTAACCCCGACACATTCTATGTCAGGCATGGGTCTTTAGTTCAGAGTGGTTCGCGTTGGTTCATGTCGGTCATATTTGTTTTTCGTAAATTGTCTGTTATATACTATGCCGTTAGTTTTCTCAATTGAATGCTTCATACTTTTCATGTCGCGGCCTTTTATAACCAATTATACGGTGTGTATTTTTCTCATTGTTGAAGGCCGTACGGTGGCCTATAATTGCTTACATCTACTTCATTTGAACTTTGTGGTTAGTTGTCTCATTGGCAATCATACCACATCTCCTTATTTATATATAGACAACACTATGACAAAAAAACAATAAATGAACAGACAAATGCTTGTTTTGCTTACAAAGTAGTACATATAACATTAAAGCTTGAACAACAGTAAATCCTAATTAAAGCTGAGGATGAAAGCAGATGATTCGAAGGAGATACATGTACATGTAGTAGTTCTTGGTGAAAAGTGTCTAATTGTTCATAACACATATTAACACACGAGTGCAGTGATACAACAAATGATAAAATAACTGTGAATAACATTTTAAAACAGGCTTTTAGGTTCATAATTGTTTCTCGTTTCTCGTTTTTTATATAGATTAGACCGTTGGTTTTCCCGTTTGAATGGTTTTACACTAGTAATTTATGGGGCCCTTTATAGCTTGCTGTTCGGTGTGAGGCAAGGCTCCGTGTTGAAGACCGTACTTTGACCTTTAATGGTTTACTTTTATAAATTTTGACTTGGATGGAGATTTGTCTCATTGGCACTCATACCACATCTTCTTATATCTATTTGCAGCTTTATCCTGCAATCAGCCGACTGTTGTACAAATAACAGTTACACGTATAATGTTTTGCTTTATTGTACTTGTACTCCTGTTACTCCGCTCCCATGTTGAGCAACAGTAAATGTGAATATTTCCTTTTGCGTCACAGATCATTTTGGGGTCTTATTCGCGGTCCGCCTTTTAAACTATGTCGATTTCTTTGAAAAATCAGAGACAACTATTTTGGATTTAAACAACTGAACCTTAAAGTGGCGAGTGTAATTGACAGGATAAAAGCCATGTATGTACATTGTCGGAAATATAAAATTTATTTGTACTCGCTACAAAACAGGAGAAAAGCTCGACGAGTATCGCCTTTCGTCATGTTTCTAAAGCTCGTTCAAATAAATTTTATGTTTTCCCACAATGTACTTATATTGTATTATACATACATGACGTTGTATCAGATTTACTGCGGTGCGGTAAATTAAAGGAAACTTCGGGTATACGCCAATGAGACAGCAACAAAACGACTAATATACAAAATATATCAAAAGATCAACAGCAGGATGCATTGTTTCCCTTTTTTTAAATTGTATCCTGCAATCAGTTATTAATTTACCAGTAACATATATTACTTATACACAGTCATTGAAATCTCGTATCATTCTATTTCAGATAATTAAACATGAACAATTCAACAGTTGGTACAGATGACGAAGATAGTCTTCCGATCTTTCCTTTTTATGTCTATGCCGTATTTGGTACAGTCGGCGGCCTGATTACAATTTTCACAGTGCTTGGGAACCTTCTGACAGTTTTATCCTACATAAGAGATGACAAACTTCACTCAGTGTATAACACGTATATATTAAACTTGGCAATAGCAGATTTTATTCTTGGATTCGTGGTTCTACCGATATATATGGTCTACGAGATCGGACCAAGTTCGTTCTGGTTGGATTACTATCTCTGCAAAGCGTTTTATGTTATAGATTTTACAGTGTGTGTAGAAGGCGTGTTTATGATGATAATAATTAGTTACGATCGCCTGATGCTACTTAGGTGTGGTATTTCGTACCATCAGATTGAGACCAAAAGAAAATGTACTATAGTGATAGCGTTATCGTGGGTCTTAGCATTTCTTGTATATGGACCATCTATTATATTTTGGGACATTTGGCAAGATATGGACGACATTAATGTACCAGGGATGTGCGATGTACAATTCGCACACCATTCCGTTTTCACAACAACAACTGCATTCTTGGAATTTTTTATTCCCTTAATTCTGCTTTCGATTGTTGATATTTCCATTATATCCGAGCTCCGAAAACGGACAAAATTTCGTATTACATCAATATTCAGAAGGAGTTTCAGACGAAGCAGTAAATCAAAATCCGAATCAACGAAATCAAAATCTTCTTTGATATCAGACAATGAATCTAAAGTTGATTCTGTAAAAAGTAAAGACTCTAAAAGGAAAGAAAACAAAACATGTCAAACTGATTATCGAAAACGTAGAGAAAAGAAAGCGATGAAATCGTTAGGTTTACTAATGGCAGTGTTTTTTGTCACATGGGCACCCTATACTATTTATACTATCATCAAATCCGTACAGAAAGGAGACATCGAATTATTGAGTTATGAAGCTTTAACGTGGTTTCTTTGGCTGAAGTCGGCTGTTAATCCGTTGTTATATGCCTTCAACAGTAAAAGATATAGACGGAATTTTAAGTTTTTCCTTTGCTGTATCAAATCACTTCCCTTATTTAAGAAGAACGAAATGTAAATGGCAGGTGTAACAAAACTTGTAATAAACTATAAATCAATAAAACGGCAGTTTATCATTTTAATATCTTCGTCACAAATGTTATGGAGGATCAAGGAATGCACACTATTGGGGAGAGATATGAAATTATCATTAATTATAATCACCAAAAGAAATAATTTCAAAAAGTGAAAGTTCGGAAGTACGAAACATTCCTATAAGAAAATGTATTTGGCAATTGTTTGTAAAAGATGTACATGTATGTAAAAGATTAACAAATAAACCAAGAAAAACGTCATCTTAAAAGATATACATGTATGTAAACGATTAACAAATAAATCAGTTAACACGTCATCTTTCAATATTACAGATACTAATACAACAGTATCCGCCAAATAAAAAAAAATATAGTATGAATATAACAGGTACTGAACCAACACAAAGAAACCGGGATCGTCTTGTTTTAGTCTTAGATACAGGATTTTTTAATAAATGTTATTGGCTTTGAACTAGCTGGCAGTAACTGCGAATACTCTCAGATCTGTATGTTGTGTCTTTTGTTGTTGTGAAGGATGTATAAATACCCTGCCACGTCCTGTCTGTGTTTTTTTGTTGTTGTTTTTCTGCTTTGTATGGATATGATGAGTTAAGCCCTTTTCGATTGATTTTTGTAGCGTATTCTCATAGTGTACTGTTACAAAACTGTCCCAGGTTAAAGGATGGGTTTGGCGCCAGCCAACATGTTTAACCCAGCCACAGTCTGTGTGTACCTGTTCCAAGTCAGAAGCATGTAATTCAGAGCTTGTCGTTTCTTGCTATATACCATATTTGTTTTTCGTTGATTGATTTTTTTACTTAAATCAGACCGTTAGTTTTCTCGTTTGAATTGTTTTACATTTGTCATCTCGGGGTCTTTCATAGCTGAGTATGTGGTATGGGGTGTCTCCTACAAGCTCCCACAACTTTAAGGAATGTTTTGTTTTCAATGCCCTTCAACTTCGTCTTTGATTTGACCTTCCAACAGTGTTGATCCGGGCACCGATTGTGAGTGGTATGTAGACGAAACACGCGTACCAAACTATAAGCCTGGAATCTTTCATGAGTTTCTTCTTGCACCCGTAAGCCGTCAGACAATTGCAGAGAGAAACAAGTTGCCACAAGTAGATTAAATAGTTCTATTCATAATCAATTTCACAGAAACTGAGGGACAATTGATTATTCGGCCTTTATCCCTTTCGACCTTCAAAAATAAAATGAAGTGGAAAAATTTTGAACGCATATAGACAAAAGACAAAAAGACAACTAGAAGTTCTTGAAAAACTATACAGAAAACGGAAGATAAATGAACATACATTGTAAGAATCAATGATCAACTAGTGTGCTTAGGGATGACCGTAAGCAGTTCCTTTTCTACTTGATGGATTTGCTTATGACCAGTTATATATCACGAAATTTCATTCACAAAGACGATCAATGGTTTGTCAGGGGACAGAGAAATGGCCTTTCATATACTTCGTCTGTCCAGCAATTAGACTCTTGTTTAAATAGGGAGTCCGATTTGCTGTGCAGGATGAATAAGTACGCAATCACGTTCGGTCGGAATAGGAGGTTAAATCAAATACCCTATTTAAGGCGAGTGTTATACTCTCAGCTTTCTAAATAACTCTTGCAAGAACTCTTTGAGGAGTATGTTGTTGGCTTGTTGCAAGGAACAATTTTGTGATCCTATAAATGTCCAGCATATCTTCATTTTTAGTTGCATATCAAATCTGTCGGCCTTGATCCCTTTCTACCTACCTTACAGAACCTTCTATTGTATCAATTAAATAAGTTTTTTTCTCGTCCTTAATACAAATCAGATATTTCCCACTGAACGTTAGGTAAGTAGCTTTCAAAGGTTACAGAGTATTTGTTATGGCAAACACATGTCATGGTTTGAAACGTTACAAAACCGGTTATAATGTCAGATGAGACAAGAGTGAAAAATGATTCCACCTGAGGAATTAAACCATAAGTGAAGTTTCTTATCAAGCTATTTGCGATAATTATAAAGCCAACACGTCTGGGAATGTCCTTCACGTATTTATCTAAGGATTTATAGATTAAAAAAAAAGAGGCGTAAGATACCAAAGGAATATTCAAACTCATAGTTCGAAGACAATAAAACTAAATACGTCGTGACAAGAAAATGTAAAACGACGAAAAGGCAAAGATCAGTCTACACAACTCAACATAGAAAACTAAAGACGGAGAAAAAGGATAAACAGTTGTTTAACAGTTACTGCATCTGGTAGTTAATAGTTAACATAAATCCGATAATTAATAGTTTGAACTTTAATACAAAAATGTTTCTTGAACTTTTTTCTGCATTTAAATGATGAATAAGATTGTTCTATGCAATGCGTAATATATTTTGGTGTGGAATGTATGTTAGGGTGAACCCTGTGTTAAGGTGGACCCTGTGTTAAGGTGACCCTTGTGTTAAGGTGAACACTATGTTAAGGTGAACCCTGTGTTAAGGTGACCCTTGTGTTAAGGTGAACACTATGTTAAGGTGAACCCTGTGTTAAGGTGAACCCTGTGTTAAGGTGAACCCTGTGTTAAGGTGAACCCCGTGTTAAGGTGAACCCCGTGTTAAGGTGAACCCTGTGTGGAGGTGAACCCTGTGTTGAGGTGAACCCTGTATTGAGGTGAACCCTGTGTTGAGGTGAACTCTGTGTTAAGGTGAACCCTGTGTTAAGGTTAACCTTGTGTTAAGGTGAACCCTGTGTTAAGGTGAACACTGTGTTAAGGTGAACGCTGTGTTAAGGTGAACCTCGTGTGGTTATTTGGTTTGCTGTCTCATTGACGTGTATAAGGTAGAATAATTACAATTTAATCATCGCTACAAGTCGAAACATACAAGTATTAAAACAATCGGACAATAGTTTTAACATCCACACCAACCGGTAAGTAATAAAACAATTGGGCAATAGTTTAAACAGCCACACCATCCAGTAAGTACTAAAACCATTGGACAATAGTTTTAACAGCCACACCAACCGGTAAGTACTAAAACAATAGGACAATAATTTTAACATCCACGCCAAACGGTAAGTACTAAAACAATTGGACAATAGTTTAAACAGCCACACCAACCGGTAAGTACTAAAACCATTGGACAATAATGTTAACAGCTATACCAACCGTTAAGTACTGAAACAATTAGAAAATAGTTTTAACAGCCACACCAACCGGTAAGACAGTACTAGAACAAATGGACAATAGTTTTAACATCAACACCAACCGGTAAATACTTAAACAATTGGACAATAGTTTAAACAACCACACCAACCGGTAAATACTGAAACTATTGGACAATAGTTTAAACAGCCACACCAACCGGTAAGTACTGAAACCATTGGACAATAGTTTTTACAGCCACACACCAACCGGTAAGTACCAAAACAACTGGACACTAGTTTAAACAACCATACCAACCGGTAAGTACCAAAACAATTGGACAATAGTTAAACAGCCACACCAATCACTCTGAGAAGTTTTTAAAAACCTAATTAAAGGAACCACAGATACAGCTTCCGCCGCCTCATTGTTAAACATATACCTCGAATTTGACAACAATGGTCTTCGCAGTACCAAAATCTATGACAAACGAGACGATTTCAATTTGAAGTTATAAGTTTTCCTCACTTTAGCAGCAATATTCCAACTTTACCCGCGTATGGAGTATACATTTCTCAACTCATATGATATCCAAGAGCTGCAGCTGCTACTCATACTTTGTAAAACTCCATTGTTGTCTGGGTAAAAAAAAAGAGTCACCTAGGGTTTTGTCAAAGAAAGTCTAATCCTTTTTTCTCAAAAAGTTCAGTGGAAAGTACCAAGACTTAATAGATATATATTCAGTGTCTACTTCACAAATAATACAGGATGGTCTAAAGTTATGGATTCTAAGTGCTAACGTGGTGTATAATTGTATTTACTTTACACTTTTCCCTTTATTTATCTTTGTACTATTATGTTCTTTTTCGCCTAATGACTCTTGACATGACTGTGTATATGTGCATCCAGCTATTGGGTTTTGGCTTTGTGCGTTCCTGATGCGGTTGGGTCCAGTGGTACAATTCGGAGTTTTTATAGCACTGTTTTCATTCTGTTTACCATTTAAATATATTTTACTTTATTTGCACTTTATCGGGAAAGCGTATAAAGGTATTAACAAAAGATACAGAACTCCAAGGTAAATTCAAAAAGGGGAAAAAGGTGGGGCGGGTGGGGGGTCTATAAAAAACTGATAAAAATCAAACGTTTGACTTCACCAATCAACGGAACGAATGGAAAACAACTGTCATATTCCTTACTTGGTACAGCCATTTTCCGAAGAACATATGGTGGGTTAAAGCTGATTTTTTATCTGCATGTAAACATCCCACTTTTATGACAGTTGTTTATAGTTCAAAGTGAAAATAATTGGGATCCATATGAAATAATTTTATTATGCTTTGCAAGTATGTTCTATCTTCTACAAACAATTTTGTTGGCGTCTTTGTCAGATTTATTTGTATGTTTGTTTGAATTTTTAAGTCAGTTGTATTTGTATTTGTATTGTCTATGGTGTATGTCACGGTTTACAAAGTTGTAGCTGCAGGATCGCAATCGATGTCAAGTTGACCAATTATGTCTGTTTGAGTTGCTCATATACTGTTGTCAATCTACCAGAGCTATTAACAACTGTCATACAAGTGGAGGTTTAGCAAGCTATACAACTAGGATTAACCCACCATACTCTTATGACCCGACAATTGTTCGTTCAAAGTTCACTTTTAGGATTTTGTATATTTTTATAATTCATGCTTTTTATTATCATTCCGAGTCGTCATTGGTTTTTAATAATTCAATAGTTCATTGTATAGCCAGACTATTTGCTGGGTATTAAATGAAGATTCAAGTCGGTATAAAGTTTAACAATTTAATAAACGATCCAACAAGAATATAAACGATGTTACAATATTGAGTCCGGTGTTTACGGTTCGAGAACCTTTCCAAAACTGAATATATATTATTTTTAAGAAGTATATAAAACAGAATAATAAAGAAATACATGTAGCTACGGATTAAGCAATTATTGTCCATTGTTAAGAAAAAACTGATAAAAACTGTCTTTGACACGTAGATACGAAGTCCATTATCGGATTAGTAGAAACATACATTTTTCAACCAAAAGATATCTGTGTGGGAATATTTGAGCTAATAATGACAATTAAAAGATATAATAATTAAAGTAAGAAAGATGATAGTCCAAATAATTAACATGTTTTCATCCGGTCATACTCTTAAGAAATTG